GTAGCATTTGGGAAACATTAGTGTTAAATGATCAAGTTGTGGTTGTTTTATTCTTAATTTTGTGTTTCAAGCATTTTTAGTTCTCTCACTAAGCTTGCCAAATTCTTTCTTGCATAGTCTCTACATATGCCACAAAGAAAAAATAAAAATAGTGGTGTTATAGAACTAAGGGGGATTAAATATGACAACTTAACTAACAATAATTAAGCTGATAAAACTCATATTATTATGCTAGAATAGTCCTCCAAAATCAATTCTCCTGAAAAAAAAAAAAAATCAAAAATTTGATAGACTAGTTGTTGGTATGAATTTAAAATTAGCTAAGTGCTTTAATCGAAAGTTAAATATAATGTCATGTTATTGGCCAAAAGAAGTTCAAACAATATCTTTTCTCATTAAGACCAACGAGATTATAGTTGACATCAGAGAATTTGACATTGAGAGAAATTTTTATTAGAAATGCACGTAAGTCTAAAAAAAAATAAAGTTTGAAATAAAATTGCTAATCACTAGCATTTCACTAGGAATTGGAATTTCAAAAAAATAATAACATTATAAATACATAAATCATAGGTGTTTTTTCCTATAAGACTTGCGGGAGTATGAGGATCAATTGATATCTCACTATATTCTTGGATTGCACACTCATTTTCAGGACGCATTAAACATTTTCTTTCCCGAATCTGTCTTCAAGGAGCACCAATGAGTCTTGCAACTTGAATGCCAATTTATGCACCGTCACTTCACAACTTTTAGTTTATAGTTATCAAGCTTTCCAGACTTAACCAAATCGGTCATGAATCCACACTCTTCCAATAGCCAGCAGACGGGTCCAACCCTGTTATCATATGTTCCAACTCCTACCAGCAACATATCATCCTTCTGCGGCCCGTGTTTTTCATGTTGAAAGACAGGACATCACATTTCTTCATACCCAAAAAATCTTACACTACATCGCTTGTACATAAAAAATGCAGACGCGGACGACATTTTTCACCCTTTTATGATGCTGATGATACTGACTGGATGCCAAAGTTCGTCATTTTCGGAGATAAAGGGGCCACCTTGATTGTCAGATGCACTTGCCTTGCACCATATGACTGTTGCTGATGTCCATTGCACTTCTTTGTTCAACTTAACACGTACTATTAATGGCAAGGTATGTTGCTTTATTGTTAACTTAGGTTCCTGTGAAAATGTCATCGCTAATAATACAATTGAGAAATTAGCTCCGAGCCTAAAGTACACCCAGAGCCCTATAATTTATTGTGGTTACAATAGAGGAATCTTGTACATATGGCTCTGAGGGTTTTGAGGATGTTTTTTTATGGGTTACATATATGTAGGCTCTGTTTGGTGTGATGTAGTACATATAGATGCTTCTTATTATTTTTTAGGAAGCCTTTGGCAATTTGATCGTAGTGTGGTTCATGATTGTTGCAAGCACACATACCAATTTATATTTTCTGACTTGAAGTTTGTGCTGCTGTTTTCTTTGCCAAATTTCAATAAGCTAATGACTGCTGATAAAGTTCTTTTCTAGATCGTGATGCATTTATTAAAGAGACATTCAATTAACCATTCATTTTTTTATTACTTGCCTATGATATTTGTGTTTAGTTTGAGATTTCAGTTGCAGCCTTGCCTCACATCACGGAGTTTCATGATGTATCCATATGCCTTACAAAAAATGTTACCTCCCATACCAGATATTCAATATTAGATCCATCTATTCCTAGGGCTTATCTTCCAAACCGCCCCATTATTGTATGTGTCCTATCAAACATGAGGAACTCTGACACTAGGTGAAAGATTTTATTAATAAGAGACTTATTCACCACAACCTGAGTCCATGTGTTGTCCCAAGATTTTTTAACTGAGATACTTCGAAGGTGCGGATAGGCTGAATTAGGTTCCCAACAAACTGGCCCATGGCTTGTTTTAGTGAAAACGCACCGAAACTCATACTTGGTAGAGTTGTAGTTATATTGAGTTCTATGTTGTCGTATATGCAGTTCAACATTAGCATCATTAATTATGTTAGCGTGAGTTCATTCTTTACACATATCTTGAACCACTATAGCACTTGACAACCCAAGATTCTCTGTAGGTCTGATATGCAAAGTGTTAGACCTACATTCAAAAGTTTACATTGATTGTCCACTATCAATAGAGAGTGGACAACCGGGTTGCTAATCATTTTAGTTGCCGCAATTGACTTTTGACTAACATGCATGTTCATGTGGTTAATTTTAATTCCTTTTGGGACTTCTATTTTTTTTATCATTTCGTTGGGTCTATTGTCTCCATGTTGCCACAAAGTCTATTTGTGGACTACTAATTTGTATCAAGATTTTTGTTTTGGGACCTTTCGTGTATGTTCCCACCTCCAGTTTACGGTTAAAAATTATTGGCGAGATTCATAATGTGGGACATGTGGGCTGTAACTATTCTAATTTTTTTGGCCTACCATTTGTCAAGATGTATCTCTCTTTGTCACTCATAAAAGGACACCGCCAACAATGTGTGCTTGTATCGTCAACTACCCATTTCTTATCGTTCATGGGCTACTATTAGTATGGACTTTGCCTTGAGTCTATCTCCAACCCTAACGGAGTAATGATTCTATTTTTGTAGTGGTTGACCACTTCTCTAAAATAGTCCATTTTATGCCATGAAAGCATATTACTAATGATGTCTATGTTGCGGCTCTATTTTTTCAGGATGTCTTTTGTTTCCATAGACTACCTATTTAAATTGTCTTATATTAAAACTTACGTGTTATGGATATTTTTTGCATACTCTATGGCACATGACCAACACAGACTTGAGTTTTAGTAATGCGTATCATCCCCAGGTCGATAGGAAGGCGGAGGTGGTCAGTCAATATTTGGGTAACATCCTTTGTTCTTTGGTTTGGGACCATCTAAAATCTTAGAATCTTAAACTCGACACGTCTGAATTTGCACACGATCAAATCTTGAACTATAGTACGAGCTATTCTCCATATATGGTGGTTTATGGTTAGATTCTTTATGCCCTTGTAAATCTCCTCACATTACCATCCACTTCTTCAGTTGATGCTCGTGCTATCAATCTTATTGTAGAGCAAAAAAAGTTCACCATACAACCCCCGTCTGATTGGAGGATTCATATGCTAAGTATAAGCTTGTTGGTGACACCAAGCAACATGACATTCAATCCAATGTTGAAGATTTTGTTTGAGCAGTTCTTACCAAGGATCAGTTCCCCGCTCACAAGTAAAATAAATTTCGCATCTCGAATGATTGACCCTGTTGAGATCATCGAAAAGACCAATCCTAATGTATATCGTCTTCGCCTTCAAGGTCATATGCTCACTTCTGACATCTTTAATGCCAAACACTTAGTGCCCTTCCATGATGATAATTCCTCTACCGATTAAGATATATTCGATCCGAGGACACCTTATTTCGAGGAAAATGGCAGAGATAAAGCTACTATTCAATACTTAGAGAAAATCAACCTAGCTAATTTAAAATTTTGAGAAAAAAATTATTATTCGTCCCAATTTGATTATAAAATATCATATCAAAATATTTAAATAAAAAATCACATAATCACTTTATTTCAAATTATTTTCAAACCAATACAAAATTATCCTCACCCCGCCCATTTTAAAGGAAGTAACAATCTTTTAGCTTATACATACTTTATATGCTCCTACTCCCAAAATTATTTATATTACTACCCAACATAAATTTTAAAAGACAATTTCTTAATGAAAATTGTTGTATCCAATTTATTACTCCATACATTAAGTAGATAAATGTTGCAATAATTTTAGTGTGTGCTTAACCATGGAGGGACCCCACCCTACCCCAACCGTGCACAATGCTTGTCAATGGTTAGTTGCAAGCTGTAAAATAATGTAATTATTTATTAATAATGGAGATTAATAATTAGTTTATTAATTATTGAGTAAGATTTGCAGCCTCACCATCGAACATTTTGTCTAATTATAATTGCATATGGAAATATTTGTTTAGGTGCATGTCTTATACACCTCATTTCACATTACATGTATTAATTAAAATTAATAAATTTGTTTTTGACGATTTCACATTTGTTTTTTAAAAGAGTTTTAGAAATATTAGTATTATATTGGCATGCAGTAGAAATAAAAGTAAAATTATTAAACTAATATTATTAGTAATGTATGATATAAAAGTAATGACATTTGTGTAATATATTGTAAATTAGAATGAGATTTGTAATGTTAGATAAATAGTCAATTACTAAAAAAAAAAAAAGAAAATGAATACAAATCAAAATAAATAAATAATTAATAGATAAAGAAAGTATATATTTAATAACAACAATTAATTTTCACAATTCAATAAAATTTATATATATATATACCCCGTGCATAGCACGGCTATCCTCTAGGGTACTATATAGGAACATTGGCGGATCTACATGGGGGCTAGGGTGGCAATTGATCCCCGGCCTCCAAAATATATGTATTTTTTAGTGTAAAAAGTTATAAAATTATATATATATATATTTTTAGTAATTTGCTCTTCTTTTTTTTATTTTATAATATAAAAATTATAAAAATTTTGTCCATTTGTTGATTTATACTTTTATTTTTTTAAATTTTAATTTTTTATAGTAAAAAATATTAAATTTTATGAAGTTTTATTAAAAAATTTTCTAAAATATTTAAAATTTTCCAATATTTTTTTGCCCGAACGTGCTGTGAATTAAAAGAAAACAAATAATATTGAATTAATAAAAAAAAATTTGTCCCCGAACTTTTAGCTGGTTCAGTCATCACTGTATGCGAAAGTGACACAGTGTTGTGGTCGGCTTGAAAAAATGGAGAATTGCTTCAAGGTCGCCAAATCCACTCAGCTGCCGCCACGTAGGCGGAGAAAATTAAATTCCATATCTACCCTCGGTTCTGGACACGGAATTACTGAACTACCCTTTTCCGTGCTATATATACCCCCATTTCTCCGTGGTCACGTTTCCTACGCACTCCTCACCTTCCTCTCCCCACACACAAATCTCGCCCTGTTTTCTCTGCCTTTTCAGGAACTGGCGTTACCTCAGGAAAGCCTGGAGGATTCTCGAAGCAAGGGGGTGGTGACCGCCCTGTATGACGCCTTGAGCAGCCGCGACGCGGAGGCAATCCACCAGATCCTTGCTGCCGACCTCGAGTGGTGGTTCCATGGTCCGCCGTCGCACCAGTTTTTGATGCGACTACTCACCGGAGAACAGGAATCGAGCTTCCAATTTGTTCCCCACAGCATCGCCGCCTTCGGCTCTGTCGTCCTCGCCGAAGGATTCGACGTCCGCCGCTCCATCGCCTGGGTTCACGCCTGGACCGTCAACGATGGGGTAATCACTCAGGTCAGGGAGTATTTCAACACTTCCCTCACCGTCACCCGCATCGGGAAGACCGGCGCCATTTCGCCTCTCCATTGCCCCTCGATTTGGGAGAGCAGCCTCCCCGATCGCGTCGGGAAATCCGTGCCCGGCCTCGTGCTTGCCATCTGAGCTCGAAACGACGCCGTCTCCTACGGAACGGTAAATTGTCAAAACATTGTGTGATATTTATTTACTTTTATCTATTTATGCTATAGTTAACGAATAAAGGAGGAATCGTTATTGCTTGTGCTGCGTTGTGCGTATGGTGTGGTCAGAGGTTTGTACGGTTGGATCTTCCGTCTGAGAGGACGTGAGGTTAGATGAACGGCTAGGATTGATTTGGGGGTGTTTGATCGGCGGCTTTGTTGTTTCTGGTATTGCTATTGGTCTATGTGTGTAGGTAGGTAGGTGTCGTGACGTGGCGACCAATAGGATGAGGATTGGGAGGCCTTGCTCTTGCTCCTGTTCTTGTCTTTGTCTTTGGTGTTGCGTTACCTTTGTAATAACACTTTCACTTCACTCCTTTGTGACTGTGAAGGTGACTGTGACTGAATGCCATTGCTGCTTTACCTTTCGAATTTGTGTTTCTTTAACTATCAAACCCGTATTTTTACTGCCACCTTCGTCTGGAAAGAAGAGAGACGTTTATTTTTTGCACGTAAATTTTTTAATATTAGTATTATATTAATTTATATTGAAAAAGACAAAAATATCCCTATTAGATTGTGGGATATAAAAATAATAACACTTCTATAGTATATTGAAAGTTCCAAAGTATTAAGTATGTTAGGTAGGACAATAATTAAAAATGACATTCTTCTTATGTGACAGACGGAGTATTTGATTTATGCATTTTTCGAAAAAAGTATTCCCAAAAAATATACATAATTTTATTTTGATATAAACATTTCATTAAGTACTTTATATTTTTTCCACAGATATATTTACTTTACGTCACATTATTACTTTTATACCAAAAAGTAAGGGCAAAAATGTCATTAGACTACTTTCAACTACCCACTATAGTTAAAATACTATTATTTTTTAAACACCGCCAAAAGTAAATATTTATTTTCTATGTGGACGGAAAAAGTGTATTTTTTTTTCTTACAAAATATCTCATCGTATATTATTTTAATACTAAATCCAAAACAAAAATTTTCAAACTAAATCAAAAGAAACATATGTCACACATACTTTTACCTGCAACCGACTATTGTGATATATATATATATATATATATAATGATGGTTATTGTTATAAAACCGAAGTTTAAAATAGTGTAAGTTTTGTATACATTAAGTAAATATTAATTCTTTGATTGAAGTGATAATCAATATAAATAAGTAGATGTGAAGTCCTCGAAATCCTTGTTAATTGTTATTGCTCATTAGCTTGATTTGGTTATGGCCGATTGTATGGTTTGGTAGGTCTTATTGGCTTAAGATATATATCCGGATCCAGTTTCACATCGGTATTTTAAAAATAAATAAAAAAGAAAATTGAAGAAGACGTATTTAAAAAATAAATAAAAAGAATTAAAGCAAGCAAACATATTGAGATTTTGAATCACTACAGGTAAATAAATCTTGAAAATAAATGAGATTACATTGATTTTATGCTGAGAAATGAACTAAAAAAGAAAAAAAAAACATAAATGCAAGAGGAAAAGATAATATAAATGTGCAAAGATAGCACTAAAAAGAGTGCAATAAAATAAAAAGAAGGCAAAGAAAAATAAAAATAAATAAAAAAGAAAAAGAAAGAAAAATAGAAGGAATTATTTAGGATGTTTCTTCCTTCGTAAGATTTTGCCAAAATCTTACTATTTATCCCATTCCCCCCAAACATTAAATCAAAAAACATATTTTTTATTTTTTATATTATACTAAAAAATCAATTTTACATTCAAAACATCACATCAATACCTATTTATATCACATCATACAACTATTCAAATTCAAAATTTTTACTATTCAAATCCCAACTCAAAATCCAAGCCCCCAAACAGTATTTGTTTGAGGGATTTGTTTGGATTTCCACTATTCATCCTATTTTTTCCCCCCAAAAACATCAAATCAAATACCTATTTTTCATTTTTTATATTATACTAAAAATCAACTTTACATTCAAAACATCACATCAACACCTATTTATATCACATCATACAACTATTCAAATTCAAAATTTTTACTATTCAAATCCCAACTCAAAATCCAAATCCTCAAACAAACACACCCTAGTGTATCCTTAATTCAGTTCTTTTACTACTTTTTGTTACTATGTGTTTGTTTGGGAGTTTGGATTTTGAATTGGGATTTGAATAGTAAAAATTTTGAATTTGAATAATTGTATGATCTGATATAAATAGGTGTTGATGTGATGTAAAATTGATTTTTTAGTATAATATAAAAAATAAAAAATATGTGTTTTGATTTGATGCTTGAGGAGGGGAAATGGGATGAATAGTAAGATTTTGGCAAAATCTTACAAACGAAGAAACATTCTAAATAATTCCTACTATTTTTCTTTCTTTTTCTTTTTTATTTTATTTTTATTTTTCTTTGCCTTCCTTTTATTTTATTGCACTCTTTTTAGTGCTATCTTTGCACATTTATATTATCTTTTCCTCTTGAAGAATAAAGTCCAAAAAATCGTATTACTACACCTGAAGAATGCGTTAGCCAATCTAGTAGAAATGCTCATAAATTGTAAATCATAATTTGCTATTTTATTAATTAACCTTAAAAAATACTTGATGCTGCTGAAAATGCCTATTAACCAAGTCACAATGAAAGATTATATAATCATTTTTTGGACATGTTAATTTTACTAATCTACTAAAGTTGATAAAATGATGTATGTGTATTGCCTACAAAGAATTTTCATATACATCACAACCATTTATTGAATGAAAATTGAAAGAATAACATTTGATATTCAATCATTAAAAATTCGTACCTAGTTCGTTTAACACAATTTTAAATTTTATGGAAAAATATCTTGGTGTGTTTTACACATCATATCCTCATAATGCATTTAATCATCTAAATCATTGAGGTATTTTTAATTGGAATGTGATAAAATTTTGCAATCCTCTCTCTTTATATATGCATGCAAGACATACTAGCAATATGTTGATAAAAAAGCATGAAGTAAAGTTGGGCCGAATAAAGCCTCGCCCTGTTCAAAAGGCATAAAAAAGTATAGTCACACAATGACACCTCAATTAACAAGCCACGTTGGCTGGGCATGTCGAGAGTTTCTCACGGTGCATGTGAGTGAGGATAAAAACATGATGAAAGGAATCGTGTTGACTTTGGGGATAGTCTAATCCCGACATGCCTGGCCAGTGTGGCTCGTGGACCGAAGTGTTATAATTGGTATCAAAGTCAACCTAGGACAACCCATAGTCGTTGACAGGACTATTGAGGGGTCTAGCATTTAATGGATTCTTTTGGTGCAACGTTGACGTTGCATTTTTAAGTGGAGAGGATGTGATATCCCTGGAGTTGAATTGATGCTAGTTCAACGCCCGTGTATAGATGAGCCGGTGCTAAGCCATTTGAAATTGAATAGAGATTTAGTATATTGAACATACTTCTCATGTCAACAATGTACACATTCTTTTTCGGAAGCCGATTTTAGAGAAGTATAGTTAATCATGGTTGCTTTAGGACAATTTCAGGATAAGTGACCTCCTTTGAAAGACTTTGTTGACATGTAGGGTCAATCTAATCCCAACACGCTTGATTTGTATAGCTTGCGGGCCATAGTATTACAATGCTAAAGGTATATACAAGGCCTTAAATATGATAATACATAGTTTTTCATATATTCATAATAGCTATTACATGTTGCATACTTCACTACAAATGGTTTGAGTCTATTAATTAAATGATCTCTTGGAAAAATTAGACTTTTAAGGTTCTTACTATGTTAAGGACAATATATGATATGTTATTGAAAGTATTTCAATCAATTCTAAATATAATTTGAACAATTATATATATAAATCATTAATTAAGGTTGTGTGATGGCTAACTAAAGATAATCTCCCTATCCACAAAAAAAAAAAAAAAGGATTCAATTCCGACCAAATATCCCTAACTTTTATACCCTTGTCTCATCCCCACTAATTTATCTCAGCCCTCTTGAAGTTTATTTCACACAGTTTTTAAGTGTTACGACCATTATTATTCGTAGTTGCCGGAAGGAAAACATTGCTTGAAGCTTTTCACTAGTTACCAGAAATGGCAAATGCACAGCCGGATGGAGTTGTGTGTCGTCCAGGTTTCTTGTCTTCTGGAAAAGTTTGTCGCTTACGCCGGGCTTTATATGGGTTGAAGCAGGCCCCTCGGGCTTGGTATGCCACATTTAGCGCTGCACTATTGGAGTTTGGTTTTACCACATGTGCTTACGATTCTGGTTTATTTCTTCTTCGTTCTTCATCAGGATAGTTATACTCTTACTTTATGTTGACGATATGATCATCACGGGAGATGATGCATCTGGTATTTCTGATCTACAAGCATATCTTAGCCAGTTGTTTGAGATGAAGAGCTTGGGTCCCCTTCGTTACTTTTTGGGGCTTGAAGTCTCTGATTCTCCCGATGGTTTCTTTCTGTCCCAGGCTAAGTATGCTCCGATCTTCTTGCTCGAGCTGGTCTCACAGACTGTCAGGTAGCATCTACACCACTTGCCTACGACGTTCGACTTACCGCTCATGATGGCTCTCTTCTTGATGATCCTACTCTTTACCGTCAATTTGTTGGGAGTTTGATCTATTTGACTGTCACTCGACCCGATATCGCTCATGCAGTCCTGTAGTCAATGTTATCTGATTGAACAAGTATGGATTGAAGGGAAACATAGGAGAAACTTCCTTCGGCCTCCACCAAACTGAGACATTTACAATGGATAGGAAAGTTGTTAGTTTTACACAACCTATCGAAGAATACAATTAAATAGAATATAACTAGAATAATTGAAACTGAAAATAGAAAACAAAGCAAAATGTAACCAGACACAAATTCAGGAGTTTCAGCCGAGAAACATATTCAATCAGATAACATTGACCACGACACACATCATTTTTACCAGCCCCATGAAAATGGCTTATCTTCTTACAAATTTATGCTGCAATTTTTTAGATTCATATGTCAAAATAAATTCGTTATTCATAATTTGGATATTAGAATATTGGTTATATAGTAATAGCCATAACAAATTATAATTTCATATAGATTTTAATTTTTGATTGGTAATAAAATATTTTTGTTGGAAGAATTTGCATCAAAACGCTTACAAATGAAGTATGTGAAATGAGTAGGTATTCAATACATACTTGTTCGTGATTTATATTTTATTTTAAAATGTAGAAAAAATTATCCATAACTTTTTTGTGGTTTTGAAACTCAGTGTAAATTTTCGTTTTACTTTATAAATTGCATGGCACCCCTTGTGGTTTAAAAAACGTTGAATAAAACCCCACTGCCATGAAATTTTCCTTGTATAATGAGAAAATAATTTTTCATCTATATTTTTTGCATCGCGGGGAATTTTATGCAATAT